CACCCAGCAGGAGGGAGAGCGAGGCGGGTCCCCGCCCACGAGAGGTAGCACCTGGCGTGCCAGGAGCCCAGGGCGGGTGCCCTTTAGGTTTGCCAACCCTCCAGAATTGGCCTGGAATCTCCAGGAATTAAAGATGACTCTTTAATTAAAGATTATGTCATGTGATTAAATCTCCAGGAATACGTCCAGCCAAAATTGGCAACTCTAGTGCCCTGGCCGGCCCACGGAGGGGCAGGACCGATGCAGTTGCCCTGAGCGGTGACACCATCATTGTCCCTTCCTCAGCTACACGGAGCTCCAGCCATCACCTAGCCTGGGACGGCTACACGTCCCCCCCCCCCCCCGCTCGTCGCCCATCGAGGATAACAGCGCCTGGCGCTAGGGTTGCCAGGTGTTCGGTTTTTGATGGCAACGGCGGGTTGAAAAGGGACCCTGGCCACTCCCGTTAAAAGTTCAGTTGCCTCTTCAGGTCCAAGGAAGCTGCTGGCATCTCCCTCTGGCTCCTAGGCTTAGGGGTGTTCACGGGAGCTCGGCATGCTACTTCCCTGACCCCCAGCTCCGGCTCCACATCTCCCATTGGCTGGGAACTGCAGGGGGGCGGCACCTGCAGAGCAACGGCAGCGCGCAGAGCCGCCTGGCCACACCGCCGCCTAGGAGACAGAGGGAAATGCTGACAGCTTTCCGGGTGCCTCCTGAGGTAAGCGCCAGCCAGACCCCGCACTCCGAACCCCCTCCCATGCCCCAAGCACCTGCCCTGAGCTCCCTCCCGCACCGAAACTCCCTCTCAGAGTCCACACCCCAGCCCCCTGCACCTGCCCTGAGCTCCCTCCCGCACCCACATTCCCTCCCAGAGCCCGCACCCCACACCCCCTCCTGCACCCCAGCCCAACAGGGCCCTGATCTTGGTCACTGTGTGTCTGTGCAGCGCCCAGTGCGATGGGGCCCTGATCTCAGTCACTGTGTGTCTGGGCAGCGCCCGGCACGATGGGGCCCTAATCTCAGTCACTGTGTGTCTGGGCAGCACCCAGTGCAACAGGGCCCTGATCTTGGTCACTGTGTGTCTGTACAGCACCTGGCGCGACGGGGCCCTGATCTCAGTCACTGTGTGTCTGGGCAGCGCCTGGCGTGACGGGGTCCTGATCTCGGTCACTGTGTGTCTGTACAGCACCTGGCGCGACGGGGCCCTGTGATGGATGCACAAACAGCCCCCAGAGAGGGAGGGGTCAGGGAACTGCCCTGGGTCCTGGTGGCAGGGTTGCCAACAGTCCCTTATTACAAGGGACGTCCCTTATCTTTCCATCTCCGTCCAACAAGACCGGGAGCTGCTGAGTGCTGCGAAAAGCAGCAAGAAAGACGCCCGGCGAAGGTAGGTGAGTCCTGCATCTCGGTGATGTTGATGATAATCTCAGGAGATGGGGTGGGGCGGGGATGCTAAGGAAACACCCCTTGTTTGAGAAATACAATGTAGGTGATGGGCCACCCCTGGCAGCTCTGCCCTGCCCCACCCGCAGGGCGTGCCCCACCTGCAGGGCCCTGCCCGGCCGGAGGAGGAGCTTGGCAGGGAGCAGAGAGCAGCTCCCTTGAAAGGCGCCAGCGGAGGGGAGCAGGGCTGGGATCGGCAGCTCTGCAGAAGGAGCCGGCGGCAGGCCCAGCTGATGCGCTACCAGAGCTGTTGAGGGGAAGGACTCTGGGCATTTGCAGGGTCAGAGACGTCTCCTCAGGGTTGTTCCGGTCTTTGCTTCTCCCTCTGGCTTGGGGAGACTGGCGGGAAGTGACCCGGGAGGGTGTGTGTGGGGGGGTGACACAGAGCTCTCCACGGGCAGGGCTCAGCTGCCAGCCTTGGGGCCCTGCTGGAGCCTGGGGGAGAGGATGGGCCAGGGGTCCCCGGTCAGGGCTGGAGGCACACGGCCTGTTCCTGACACTAGTGACTCAGGACTAGGGAGATCCCCCATCCCAGAGAGTCCCAGCTCTTGGGCTTTGGCCGGGCGATGCCCAAAGCCCTTTGCCAGGCAGGAGAACTAGCATTTGTTGGACCCTTTACATAGCCCGGAGGGGCTGGACACAGCCTGTGACACAGCCGGAGGGCGAGACAGGAGGGGACAGACAGCCACAGAGCGGCTACCAACAGGGGGCACCAGGACAGAGAGCATCTGCCATGCCCTCCCCTGACCACTAGGTGGGAGCTGTGGGCTCAGATCCCTTCCCTGGCCCCGATCTCGGGCACCGTGTGTCTGTGCAGCGACCGGGGTAGCACAGAGAGCCTGGAGCACTGGGCCTGGGGCAAGATTTGAGGCCTGAACCGGAGGCTGTGAACCAAAGTCAGGCCATGGGTTAGAGCAAATGCTGACAGGTTTGCTGTGCAGTTCACGTACTCTGCAACGTTGTTGCTAGTGTCCCAGGCACTAGAGATTTACGTAAATATAGCGTAGGTGGGACAAATACATTCACTTTAGTGCAAAATAAGATGGTTGGAGAAAATAATAAACAGGGGGTGTTTTGTCCAAGATCTCAGGACCCAGGGGAGGTGACAGACGAATGTGGTGACACATGGAAGGTGGGACGGAAGCTGCTTGTCTCGGTCTATTGCTCTCGGGTACCTCGCCGTCAGCCTGTGTGTGGCCCAGGAGACAGCGGTGACTCCCGTCGCTGCCTGACCCGCTCCTTGCCACGGGGCACTTGTGTGTTAGTGAGCCTGTAACAACGGAGCCAGGGAACTAGGACTGCGCCTTCAGGGCAATGAACCTGGCCGAGGGTCTTTGTCACCAGACGACTGTGCTCTGGTCTGTCTTTATAAGTAGCAGCATTGAGGTCTGCTGAATTCACATCCTGTCTTGTCTGCTCTTAGTGCTGACCTCAGTCACTGCGTGTCTGGGCAGCGCCCGGCCCAATGCGGGACTGATGATGGTTGGGACCTATAGGCCCTGCCTTAATGCAGCGGGAGCTGGGGCACACAACGTGTCTGGATCGGTCGGAGCGGGAAATGGTGGCACGGACGGTGGCTGACGTGCTGTCCCCCCGGTGCGGCGTTCCCCAGCTCTCCAGGCCGGGCTGTGCTCTGTGCCCAGCCTTGCCCAGGTTGGGATGAAGGTTCTGCCCCCGGGATCGCGCTGCCAGGCCAGAACCGCTCCCTCCCACTCGGACGCAGTCTGTCGGCCCTGGTGCTGCTACAGACCCCTGAGCCCTGCTGCAAGAGCCCGGCTTGGTCTTCAGCAACCGCAGCCCTGGTGAAATCCCCCCAATCGTTCCTCCGCGGTGGCTGGGCTCTCAAACAGCATCGGCACGACGGTTTATTGACCAACTACCTGGCCCCACCCCCGTCGCCCTGGCAGGTGCTTATAGAGAGCAGCAGGTGCCGGTGCCGGGAGCTCACTCTCCTCCCACCTCTGCAGGAATCCAGGTGGGCACATGCCAGCCCCCCTCTGCACCCCGCAGGGCGCCGGTCTCCATAGCCCAGCTCTGCCCCCAGCCCGGCTCTTCTCCCCACAGACCCAGCTGGGCAGTGTTAGTACAGCTGGGGCCAGCACTGAGCCTGCAGCTCAAGGGGCTGCCATGGGGACCCGGGGAGCTCGGGGGAAAGGGGGATCTGGGCAGGGCTGGGACGCTGCCCTCAGGCGACAGGCCGGGCTGGGAGCCCAGGGCAGCCAGAGCGCAGGGGGATCTGCTACCCAGGGGCTCTGGGTATGTTTGGCTCCGGCCCAGCAGCGCCCCCTCCTGGGGGTGGCAGGCGGCTGTGACAGGCGCGTGTCCCCACAGGGCCGAGCGAGAGGAAGATGCTGCTGCTGACGCGGGTCGTGTTGCTCTCAGCGCTCTGCGCCGCGGCGCTCGGTGAGTTTGGATCCCCCCGGGCCGGGGGTGGGGGGCAGGGCTGGGAATCCCTGATGCAGCGCAGAACCCAGGAGGCGGAAACGCAGGCATGGGAAATTAACGATGGAGGCGCCCAACTAACCCAGCCCCTGGCCTGGCGCCCGGGGCTGGACTTGCCCCTGCAGAGCTAGAGATGCCCCTCGGCTTCAGTCCAGCCCATCCCTCCATGAGGCAGGGCTGGGTCGTCCCCTGCCGCCCGTTCCCAGAGCCCTAGTGTTCATCGGCCCACGGGACGAGGCCCCTGGCCCTGCCCATGGGGAGCCGATCCCAGAGTGTCTTGTCGCACACCTCCCGCCCAGGCCGTGTCCCCTGCCAGCCCAGCTCAACCCGAACTGCCCTGGGGCAACCAAGAGCCAGAAAGGGCCAGCTCCCAGCAGCAGAGGGGCAGCGAGCTGAGGCTGTGTGGGGAGGGCAGGGGAAAGGGGGCTGGGGAGGGGGAGAGCAGGGGCAGAGGTGGGGGTGGGGGGGAGCTGTAACAACACTAGCTGGTCCCCAGCTCCCACCAAGGCCCCGTTAGCAGGATTCATGCTGGGAATGTCCCTGCAGCCAAGAAATCGCCCCCGGATCAGAGCAGGGCCCATCTACCCCGGTGCTCCAGCAGTGGCCAGTGCCAGATGGTCCAGAGGGAGGTGACTGGCACCCCCTAGTGGCCCATGATGGAATAACCCGGCCACAGGGCAATTTCCTTTCTGTTCCCATCAGTTAATGGCCCCAAGCCCTGGGGCGGGAGCCCGTCCAGTCCCACGCTGGCTGGTCTCGTTCTCCGTAGAAACCTCTGAGCCGTTGCTGGATCCTGCTCGTGGCCCAGTGACAGCCAGTGGCAGCGAGTTCCACAGGCCGATTGTGCCCAATGAGCCTTTTCTCAGGGTCGGATGCTCTGACCTTCCAGTTTCTGGGGCACTGGGCTCCATCCTGGTCACCCCGACTCGGACGTTCCTGGCAGAGGGGCAGGGGGGTCAGCAGTGGGAGACCAGAAGGATCAGGGGCCTCCCGGATGCAGAGAGAGCGGAAAGGCTGTACAGCGGAGGGGACAGGCTGGAGGGATACAAGTGACCGGAGGGGGGCAGAGGAGACAGACGGGCGCTGAGCCGCACACCCTGGGTGGGAGCTTCCCCAGCCCGGGGTGAGTTTGGAGCACCAGCCCCACCCACGTTCTCCAGCCCAGCCCTTGTTTGGCCTCCCTCCAGCCTGGCCTGGCTCCCCGTTCGCCCCTTTCCTGCCAGCGGCGGGTGCTGCTGCACGGCGAGCAGGCTTCCGGCCAGGCCTCTCCCCAGCCCCGTCTCATTTAACGCAGGGCTGCGCGTCCCTCCTGCGCCGTGCACGGCCTTTGCTGGCCCCACCCCCACCCCATTGCTGCGGCCCCACTCAGAGCACCAGCCCTGGGCCCGATCCTGCTGCGTGGGCTGGGGCAGGTGGGGGGCAGCCACATTAACCCAGCCCTTTCTCCCCTCCCCCGCATGGCACAGGCTGCCCCCGCATCATCTCACGCCGACAGTGGGGGGCCCGGCCCCCGAGAAACAGGGTCCCTATGAGGACCCCAGTGCCCTACGTCATCATCCACCACACGGCAGGGAACCGCTGCACCTCGCAGGCCTCCTGCAGCCGGCAGGTCAGGGGCATCCAGAACTATCACATGGACACCCAGCGCTGGCCCGACATCGGCTACAAGTGAGTGCGGCAGGGTGGGGCGGGGGCCTCCACAGAGCTGAGGGGCATATGCCCCCAGGCAGCCACGGGGGGCAGGAGGGGTGAAATGTGGGTTATACAGACTCCCTTCCATCGGGGGGGGGGGGGAAGCACCCTGTGAAGGGGGGGCTGAGGGATGATGGGGAGCCAGGGGAGGTGCTGAGACTTGGAAGTGCGGGAACCGGATTTAGGCTGGGAAGGGCCAACCCAGTAGTTCCTGATCCTGTTTCTCAGGCAGTTCCTCAGCAGTTGGCCCCCCGTGTGCCCCCTCCGCCATGCCCTGCCCAAGTGCTGGTGCCCTGTCCCATCCCTCGCCCCACCCCAGCAGCTGCCGTTCATGCTCCTGCCCCTCCCCCAGGCCGGGACCCAGGGGGGCTGGAACACGGGACCAGGCTGGGCTGTGGCTCCAGACCCTCCCCCAAGTCCTGCCCCCCCATGAGTCACTGGGGGAGGGGGGCAGGTGCAGAGATGTGTTTGCACCCCCAGCCCTCCCAGCACTGCGAGCCCTGCCTGCCCTGGAGGGGGACGGGGGCCACAGAGCCCCTGGCAGGGGGAGATTGGGGGGGGGGGCTGAGGGAGTCCCTGAAGAGCAGGGGATGGGAAGGGGGCAGTCATGGAGCTGGTGGGGGGGATGGAGGGCCACAGGGAGCCCCTGGGCCATGCCAGGAGCTTGGCTGACAGATGCTGCGTGGCCTGTGCCCTGCTCATCTCTGACACTGCCCCCATGCCGGTGTTATCAACACCTTTCCGTGGGGCCGGCCTGACGCCCCGCAATGAAAACCTGGCCGGAGATTTTGCTCTGTGAAATGTTTTGAGATGGTGACGTCGGGGGATGGAAACCCAGCTGGGAATTTCCCGCAGGGCGGCGGGTCCAAGGGCTGTTCTCCTGCCCCACATCTGGGCCGGCTACAGCCCTCCCTCACCCCCCACCTGTGTCCAGGTGAAGCCCAGTACTGCTTCCATAAGGGGCATTACTCAAAGCGCCACCTAATGGCCAAACAGTGCAATACAGGTTCCCCCCCCCCGCCTTCCAGTCCCTTTACTCACTGGGTCTTTAGCTGCATGGCAGAGGAATGAGCTTCTAGCTCCGAGGGTCCCAGGTTCAAACCCGGGCAGGGCCAGCGACGACCCTGGGGGAGCTCCCGGGAGCGATGGGGAGGGGAGGCTGCGGCCGACGTGCCTGTGCGGGTCTCACACTGCGCTCCGCCTGCAGCTTCCTGATCGGCGAGGACGGCAGAGTCTACGAGGGCAGAGGCTGGAGCACCGTGGGGGCCCACGCCTACAACTGGAGCGCCAAGTCGCTGGGATTCAGCTTCCTGGGCAACTTCTCCAGTACGTGGGTCCCGCCCCAGTCTTTGTTTCTAAGGTGTTTCCAGCAGCCATCCTGGGCCGGGATTCCGTGAAGAACGAGCGTTGATGATGTCACTCCCCTGCCTTAAATAGCCTTACAGATGGCGGGAATCCTTTGGGCACTCACAGGGCGGCTGCAGCTGGGGGCACTGGGCACCGTGTGCCCCCTCCCAGCTGAGAGCTCAGGGGCAGGGGTTTGGATTCAGCGAGAGATCTGCCCCGGGGCTAACCCAGCTGGCTTCAGCGCCATCCCGCCGGGCTATGCCACGGTCGAGCTCCCCCCTGTGGGGCACCAGGCTGGGGCACAGGGCCAGGAAAGGGGGGAGGGACCTTGGCTAAGCAAATGCAGCTGAGCGGGGGGGATGCATTACCGAATGTGTGGGAGGGAGTGACACTGACGTGGCCAATGGAGAGCGTGGGCAGAGGGGGGTTATTTATTCAGGCCACAGTCACATCCACTGAGCAGCAGAGAGGGGCCGAGGGCCAGGGTGAGATTAACAGGGGGCTGTTCTGTCCTGCAGGCAGAGCCCCCAACGCTGCCGCCCTGAACGCCGCCAAGAGCCTGATCCAATGCGCCGTCTCCAAGGGCTTCCTGAGACGCAGCTACACCCTGACGGGGCATCGCAACGTGTTCCCGACCAGCTGCCCCGGGAACGCCCTCTACAGGGTCATCAGCAAGTGGCCCAGGTTCAAAGGCAAACCCTGAGTCACTGCCACCTCAGGGCAGCCCCTGCGCCCATCGCTGACCCCGCCTGCGGCTTCTGCCTTCTCAAGCAGCACCTCCGTCCTCCAGCAGGGGGCAGCCTCACGCTTCCCGCCCACCTGCTGCTCCTGGGGCCCGGAGAGCAGGGATCTGAGAGTTGGGGTTACGCTAGGGTGACCAAACAGCAAATGTGAAAAATCGGGACAAGGGTGGGGGGTAATAGGAGTCTATATAAGAAAAAGACCCAAAAATCGGGACTGTCCCTATAAAATCGGGACACCTGGTCACCCTAGGTTACGCTCCCGTCTCCCCTGGGCTCTGCTGCTCCCCCCCGGGGGGCTCAGATTTCTAATGGCACCTGGGAGCCACCTGCCTCCCCCAAGCTGTTTCCTTCGGCAGAGGCCAGGCCTAGCCCCTCGCTCCCGCCCGGAACGGG